CAGCATGGCTGGCTGGGGAATTCTGGGAGCTGAAGTCCGCCCATCTTCAAGGGGCCAAGGTTGAGAAACGCTGTCCTAAATTTTTCTCTCTCCCATCTTGTCTCTGCAGGTGATCAACTTCTACGCAGGCGCCAACCAGCCCATGAACATTTCTTGCGTGGCCAAGGTAAGAAAGCCCTCCCCCCACTCCCCCCCGCCTCTCTGTCTTCTCCATCTCTTGTTTGTTCTTGGTGTTCACACATTTTATCTACACCCCTCTCCCGGTCCTTCGGAAACAAATATTCTGTGCTGACAGAGAGTGAAGTCCACGGAGGAGGTAAGGGCCTCTATTGTCACCGTGCTTGAGGGTAAAATAGCCGATAACCCACAAAGTAGTTGGCAAACTTGCTTTTGGACGATAATAGAGTCTGCCTGGCTTCAGGAGGCAATGATAGAGCCCAGTTCTCCAGTTCGCCCCCGGCCCCTTCTTCTGCTCTGCACCCCGGACTTCTGTTCCTGTTTGCCTCCTGCCAACCCCTTCTTCTCTTCCTTCCTTTCGGGAGATGGAGCCAGTCCTGAGAGTGGTGTTGTAAAAACCTTTGACACCAGGCCCTCCCCAGCAACAGATATTTCAGAAATATCTTGGGTGGGGCTAGGAAGTAGGGCCTCCTAGCCAGGTTTAGAAAAACAAACCTGGATAAGAAGGGGGGGAAACCCCTCTGTTCAAGAACACTTTGCAGCTTTGTGCCAAAATGTGGTTTCAGCTTTGACACGAAGCTGGGGAAACTTGGTTGAATCCCTAAAGGACTTTAACATCCTTCACAGGACCCATACCTGCCAGAATGCTTGCTTTCGCTTTAAAAACAAAATCCGATCGCTTCTCCCGCTTGATATTCTAGCAGGCACCGGGAGAAACTGGGGTGCTAGTGTTCCCCCACCTTGGCCCCTGTTAACGTTTCCCCGATGTCCGTCCCAGTCTTTTCCCGTAGCATCCCATCCCTTGTGTTTCAAGGGGAGCTCATCCTGTGCGGTGCATACTTGGGGTAGAAAAAATTGAACCCCTGCTTCCGAGGACTGTTGAAACAGGTGCCCCCAGGAAAATATGGGCAAAAGCTGGGCAATGCTTTCCCTTTGACTCTGTTCTGAAGCAGACTCTCCTGCTCCTCTCCTTCCAAGGAACGGGGATTCTGCTTGCCATCCCATGCCCAGCCACAGATTTTCACAGCTTTGAATGCACACGTGGGCTTCCTTTGCGCCTTCCAAAGACTAGGATCTTGATCTTTTGCTGAACGTCCAAAAGATTCCACCCGGTCTCTAACTTTGGACAGCACGATCCCACGCGTCGGATCTATTCGTTTCTCTTCTTTATTAACTGATTCCTTTGTTTACTAATCTATTCATCCATTGCTGTCACCTACACCCTCCGCCTCTTCATTTGCACGTTTGCACCAATCTGTCCTTCCTTCTCCATTTCCACCATCAGATGAAGGAAAGACCTGAAGAGGAAATTCTTG